AAATACCTACAGCTTACATTGCACAGACAGGAAATGGAGTGAACAGAAGAACTCCCATGGGCCAAATTGCCTACGAAATGGTCATGTAAGAAGTACTTCTCAGTAGAGTCTTGCCTTGTAACAAATCACTGTCTTCCCAGACTCAAGCTAGGGGATTATAAAGATTAGATCTAGATTCTGTCTAAAATGACTTGGATAAAATGGGTTTAAAAAAATCATCACAGACTTGCCATTTCTGGCTTTCATGGTCTGGGGACTTTGGACCAGCTGTGGGAATTAGGAGCTGTAACTATTATAATCTCTTTGCAGCAAGCAGTTAGTGCCATCAGCAAAGCAAAGACTATTTCAAGGAAATCACTGAGACCAGCACCTGTGGAACTGATGCTATTGCAGGGAGACAGAGTTCAGACAAAACCACCGGGAAACAGAAAATGAGAGCAATCCCTCACCCTTTTCCACACAGAAAGACATTCTCCCTACAAGATCTTCTTGTTTGAAAATGCAAGTTCCTTTACTGTCAGTGTCAAAAGATAAAAATGAATTCACTTGGAAAGAAATGTCTATGAGTTCAATTTAACCTAACCTTTTAAAAAATCTGGCATATTGCTTCTAATATACCAATCTTTAACTGTAGACAGGAGATAAACGTGAGACATATTTGAGCAAAGATGTTTAAGTCTCACTGGGAGAATTCCCTGAAGGGAACCAATGAAATTGGAAAGCTTCAGAGAATCTTCAAATGCCATAACTTTTTATTGATTCATGGTAAGGCTATGATCTAACACGATGATCATACCTGGAAAGGCAGAGTCCCCACTGCATCACAGATGATGTCTTCTAACAGTCTTCCTTCAAATGACTACTATTCAATTAAATCATGTTTCAACATGGTGCGAAACATTATCATTTAATGAAATTTCATTAAATTAAGTGAAATAGTTGTCTTTCAGACAGGTATTCTCCACTGTATGTCGGCTTCACAAGCTTCGATTCTGAATTCTTAATATCCTTTGTTGATATTTAAGGGTATTTTTTAAGGTTGGTTTTTCTCAATAGTCTTCTGGAAAGACAACACAGAATTATTTTGATCATTGATTTGTTCTGTATGACACATAGAACATTTATAAGGTCACTTTTGACACAATGCCAAAGAGAAAATTTCAATAACTTACTCCTAATGTGTATGTGTGTAGAATTATGAAAATAAGCAAAAGGAAGCATGTGTAAACATGTGTGAACATAAGACCTTCAAATACTCTGTTGCAAAACAGGATCTCACAGATATTGATTCTAATGAATAATGAGATCATATATTTTCCCCATAGGTGCCCTATAGCTTGGTTGGAGAAATACTGTGATAAGCAATACTTATCTCAATAGAAATGAAACATCAGAAAGATATTTCTATAAAATGGAGGTTCTATTGATCTTAAAAGCATACTAGACTGCAGAGCTCTCCCCATCTCACATCCTGCCAGAAAAACCCAACAGTCGAAAACAGAACTATAGAGAAAACAAAATATCCACGCTATCTTCCAGATTCCAACTGCTGCACATCTTGAGAAACTGAATTTTTATCTAAATTTATAGCATCTGTTGGAATTTATTAAATACTCTCCATCTATGCCATGCTAAGTGCAAGAGCCGCAACATCCCTCCTACATCAGAATGCTGCTTACAAACATTTACGTGGTTTCTTTAGAATGTGAGTTAGGTCTGCTGAAATACTCACCTGGCTATGCGTTTGATGGATTTTTGTATTCAAATAAAATAATTCACTCCTTTGATTAAGAACCTAGACTCTGGAACAGGAGTACTGAAATGAGACCCTAGTTTTATTACTTTTCAGTGTGATATTGTATTTCTATACCTGTAGAGCAGAAAGCCTAATGAACGAGTACATGCAACATGCTCAGAGAAGGGCATGTTATACAGTAAACATTGTCTGTGCTCATTGTTATCAATATGCTCAACAGTTTTTAACTGCCTACATACACATTGTAAGTCACCACCTAATGAGTGCTCAGCCTTCATGCATTATATGGAGCAAAGGAAGAAATAAGTAATCATCAACATTGTTGAAGTGACTCTGTCTTCTAACCGATACCTGACAAGAAATGCTTGTTATCTGTCACCCGTGTTTATCAGCATAAAAACAGATATATAATCAGGCTAGACCACCCCAAGGAATGTATCTAAGCCTGTGTCCTCTCAGGATATGTGAATTCTAATTGGTTTTTGGCATATTCAGTGAAATGAGAGGTAATCACTGTCCCTGGTACTTTAATATTCTGTGTATTATCCAGAGTGATTTGGGAGGCTAATTCAGACTGGAGCAGACTTGGAAGAGTAAGAATACCCAGGCTTCTCATTCAAACACTTCATTTGGTCTTTTAACATTTACAATAATTTTTTTAGCAAAGCATATTCATAGTTTTAAGAAGTATTAAGATTTTCAGATTGAAAACTAATAAAATTGTCCATTAAAAAGCATACACCAAATTTACTCTGAAATTGCTATTTTAGGGTCTGACAAAAAAATAAACCTTTCTGAGTATAGCACTATGGTGGATAGAACTCGGAGCTAAGCAGGAAAGAGCCCTCGGTTTAGTAGTGGCTCATCTACCTACCAACTGTCACCACCATGTGGCACTTCTCCCAGGACCTGTTATGCAAAGGACCTGATCTAGGGAGCAGAGCTTCAGACTTGGAGAATCCTTAAGCGAAACTTCCCAGCAAATTTCTCTTGGTAGATATCCAATGACGGAAAATCTACCATCTCCAAGTGACTGTGTGTCTTGAAGGCCTCCTCATGCTGCCCATTTACTATGGATAAAATAGCAATTTATTTTTTGTTTCCTACTTCTACAGAGATAAATTCCAATTTTCCAACTAAGGCATTTTAGTTTAATAAAATTTAAAATAATGAAAAAAATAAATGCTCTCTGAAATTTTCACATGGACGCTGACTGGTATCTATGCTGTACCACCATAAAACTAACTAGCCAAAAGGCCTATGGAGGATGCCAGTCCTTTAATTAATGCTTTGTTTTCTTATGCAGATCAATTAAGATTAAAGTCATTGTCAAAGCAATTTTGGCAACGTAGACATCGACCCTACCCAAGTCAGCATGGATCAGGGGAAGGATACTGAATGAGAGGCTGGGGTTCCTGGGGCCTAGGATTAGTTCTGATATTAACTTTCACTGTCAGTATCTGAAGTCTCCAAGCAGTCTGTACCGCAAGTTCCTCATCTATAAAAGTGATAGTTTGAGTGCATCTATCTCTAAAGTCTCAGATAACTTTAAATTGTCATACTTCAAAGAAAATGACTTCCCCCTTAAGGTAGTTTCTTGATGAAGGAATAATTTTCCCAGCCGTACATTTGCTGAAAAAAAAAAAAAAAGACAGAGTGACCTCCCTGCTTCTACATAAGTAGCTCTTCTCTTCACTTAAAATTGAGAAGTATCAGACTCTTTAAGGCTGAAACCACACAACAAATGAAGCATCAGCCCCGGCACCCGGCACACACCTTGGTTGTGGAGACATGAGCTCCAATTTTCAGATCTCCTGGGAGTGAGGAACAAGTCTTAGGGGCTTTACCATGACAGAATGGGTCCTATAAAACATCACCATGTACAAGGTATGTGTATTAAATTGTTATCTGTCTCATAAGAGCTTTCTCTTGGGGCCTCTTCTGATGCCTAACAATCCAATCTAAAGCCATCTGTCTCCCCTTTCCCCAACTCATGAGGCCTATTTTGTTAACCCAAGTCTTAAACAGGCTTAGGAGCCAAGTGAATTCCCAGAACATTTGAGCATGCACAAGCTACTAGAGCTGACTCCAGAGCTGCTTCATACAGTGTCTCCAGCCCCTAGCCCTGTCTTAGGCTTTTCTGCACTCCTAGGATGATAGGACCTGCCCTTGCCAACGAGTCTACGTGTGTCAGAACCAACTTTAGCTTGAAAACATCAGTAATGCCCATGATGACATTGATCTTTGAAATAAATGGAAGGGTGTACTGATGCAAATGAAGACAAATTCAGGGGAAAAAACTTGAAACATTATGGAAATTACAGAGTAAAAATGTAAAATGCCTAATCATAGATCACTATTCAAAAGAATGGAAATTCATATCTAAGCAATATGGAAATGCAGGCAGTATGTTTTAACAAAGAAAAGAAGATAATGAGGTAATGGTGTCTATGTATAGATGCATATATAATGTATCATATATATAGTCTATTATTGATTCTACCAAAAAGCTGAATAAAAGATATGAAAATCATAGAATACTTTAAAACGAAATATGCAGACCTTGTTATGTAAAATATGATTGCAATAAGAAATTATATACATAAAAAGTAGGGAGTTCCTTCTGATTTGAATATTAACTAAAAAAGAACATTAACACCCCTTATTTTGTAAAAATTTAGTCACAGATGTACTCCTTTCACAAACAAAGGGGGGAATGCAAGTGACAGACATATCCCAGGCTATCCCTAGCAAAGTAGTGCTGGCCAGGCACCGGAGCCTCCTTATCTGGAAATAACAAAGCAACCACTGAAGTCCAGTGGTTGAAGGGAAGTAGAGTAAATGAGCAGAGTTCTGGAAGGAGAGAGCCTTGGCTTTGCCCAAGTGGACTGTGCAGTACTGTTGTCAAATATCAATAGTTCATTAGACAAGCACTATTGTTGATATTCATGTTTTTTCTTCCCTAACTAAAATCAAGAAGAGGACCTTGAGCCATGACTTCCATCTGACAAGGTCTCCTTTTCTTCCATAGTTATCTAAGTGTCTCCAAGTCCTCTTCTTTAGTGAATTATGCTCTTCTCAGCTACCTGTAAGACTGAAGTCCCAATATCGTCACTCCGGTTCCTCGCCTACAGAAAAAGTCTCCCCTGTATTATTTGACCCATGAGGATGGTAAATGGCTTCAGGTCATATTTTTTTTCAGCACTCTTCTGCTGGTGGGTGTGCTTTTTTTTTCTCTCTACAGAAATCAAAGATATCCACCTATGAGAAAATGTGGGCTTTTATGAGCAGTAGACAGCAGAGTGCACTGGTTAAAAACAACGATGAGGGGATCCAAAGGGTGCTCACCACCGACTACGCCCTGCTGATGGAGTCTACCAGCATTGAGTATGTGACACAGAGAAACTGCAACCTCACTCAGATTGGGGGCCTCATAGACTCCAAAGGTTATGGAGTGGGAACGCCTATAGGTAAGAGGGGCAAGGCATTAGCCAAGGCCAAGTTGAGCGATGTTGATTACAAATATTCAACATGTTGAGAAGTATGTCGTGTCTGCAGCAGACTAACAAGGAAATGTCTGTAAAAAAATAAGGCATAGTTTAAATTGAGTAATCTCAGACACTTAATCTAATAAATTTTCAACTACTATTTTTTGTCTTTCCACAGTAACTGTTTGAGACTTGTGTGATTTTACTTTTACCACCAATATTTTAAAGAACATATTTTCCTAATTAATCTTTATACATTATTTTCTTGAATAGCTGTAATACCTTGTTTTTATGCCTTAAGTTATGCTAGAATATAAGGAAATGAATTTTCCATATAGATGAAAATTAATTCCAGGTATAGAAGGCTGTGGTTCCACCTCAATAAATGATAAGACAATGCCATATCTGTCAGAAGCAAGGGCAGAAATTAAATTTTAAACTTTTCTCAGATAATAAACTAGAGTCAAAAAATATCTCCTTAAAACCTCCAGACATTTCTCTTGGTTCAGTTCAATAGCACTGTGCTTCCTCAGGACCCTATTGCCTACAAAGCCCACACACCCATATACTCTCCTCTTCTATGACAGTAACAGGAATAAACAGAAAGGGTGCCTATGTTCAGGGGACAATTACTCATCCTTTCTACAAAGAAACCCTTGTCCTGTTGGCTCACTCTATAAAAAACTGTATTTAAGGGATTCTGCCATAAGGATGCCCTGTTCCTCTCCAGTGAGGTTTGGTATTCCAAACGAGAGAAATAAGGCCTTCTAGACCTGTGGGCTAATGCAATAGAAAGAAAGTGTAGTGGCAGCTGAGCTAGATAAATAAGAGCCAGAGATAAACTTGACTTATTGTCCGTATTTGTATTTTGTTGCCACGTGTGACAGGGATTATGCAGTGTGACCGTCAATGTCAGGCAGGGATCATAAACTTCAATGTTTACAGAAGCCAAGCAGAGATCATGAGTCAAGATGGTTTACTTTGCTGGGGAATGCTCTCAACACCAGACTGTTAGAGACCATGGCTTGTCTAAAGGAGGCCTTTCCCATCAGTCATCTGTAGATCTCTAGGACTTTAAGAAGAAGTATGGCCAGGTATTTCATTTTCCCAACAAAAAACAAAGTCATCATTCAGATGAAATAAATTTCCTAATGTTCATAATTTGACAGCTAATTAATTTTATTTTAAAAACTGTGTCCAACCCATATTCAACAACATTTACCACGATAATGTTGATTAACCAAATAAAGAGCTTCATTTGCACAGTTTGGCTCCCCACCACTTATTTGTTAGAAATATCAATATTTCCCATGAGAAACTAACTTTATTATCACTGTTGCCCTCTAAATGTTCAGAACAATTACACTAGGGAGTCTGTGACTGCCCCTTCATGGCCCTCTGGCGGCTCTTTTGTAAGAATCGTTTACTGGATATGCTGGCGTATACTCAAAATTGGTCACCTGAGTGTGCTTCAAGAGAACACCAGGCTGGATGGTAACCAGTATAGAAGCATAGGGCAATGGACTGCTGGGGGTCTCCATTTAGGGCATACACTTTTACAGTTGGGCCAAGCTTCTCCTGTATGGTTATCTGCCTTTAATTTGCTCTATTCAAAGGATGATTGCCCAGTGTACAGTTCTGGGAAGTTAGTGTGAGCCACTGTGTACCTAATCTCCAGCTGCGCTAGCTCTCCCATTCAACTAAAAACAATAATACTGGTTAAAGGGTCTGGTCATAGGGTGCAGGACAGCAGCTCTGGAGAGTAAGGTTACAGCATTCCATGAACAATCTGGGATTCATAGACCATGCTTGTAAAGATGTGTAATAACAGACAGGCTCCATTTTCCAGTCTCTTTCTTTTTTTAATTTTTAAAAACTTAATAAGAATGTAAATTAAATCATTCTCTCTCCATTTCCTACCTCTTCCATGTCTGCCTTCCCTGAAATCCACCACTTCCTCTTCTTTACCCTTTGCTGTTACATACACACATGAGTAAACATATAACTATAGCCTGTTGAGTACTTTCAGGGTTACCTGCATGTATGTTTCTAGGAATGATCACTACTGGATTACAAACTCGAGCTCATACCTGCGGAAAACTAATTCTCTGAGAAGCTGTTAATTGCTTTCAGCTCTTAATCTAGGGTGAAATCCATGAGATTCCCTCATGTCCATTGGAGTGTCACACCGGTGTTGGAATTGTTCAGATCTTGTTCAGGCAGCCATCTTGAAATTTCCTAAGTGTAGCTTTCCTGTCATAGATAGATGGCACAAACTTACAGCAGAAATTTTGGTCCTCTGGTTCATACAATCCTTGTTCCCTCTCTTCCACATGTTCCCTGAGACTTGTGTGCAGGATTTGTGTTATAGATGTATCAGTTAGGATTGGGCACATACCATGGTCATTTGAGTCATTTCTTCTCTGAATTTTGATTCGCTATGGCTAATGGCCTTCACTCCACATTCTTCACAGAAAGAGCAACCAATCCAACCTTGGTAGGTTCATTAGATGCCTCTTCTTGTAGCTGTTTTGAGCTGAGGGGGAAGAGGTAGTCTGGCTTATCAAATGTTATTCCAGCTGAAGTTTCACAAGATGCCACAAAAACACAAACAAAACCTACTTAGGAGTGGTTTGGACAGAAGGTCCTTGTTGCCTGGTCCAAAAAGCTTATTGGAAGGAGATCTTTGGCTGTCAGGGTCTTAAAATCTTGTAGAAGCATCAGCAGCAGGTAGACCCGGTCAACTCCAGAAGACACAAACTTGAGAAGCAGGTTAAAATCCAGGGACTATATGGAAAAAGTAAGCATATGGCTCCAGGTGGTCCCAGAAAGAGACACAGCTGAGATAACCCTGACCTGCCACAGTCTAGCCCTCCTTGGGATCCTTTCTCCTGAACATTACTATCATGTTGGATAAAACTTAGACTTTGTTGTACTTGTCTGCATTTGTTACATGAAAACAGCCTCTACCTTTAGCACATACGATACAGGTTCTATCTTAAACAATCTGAAATATAGGGCTCTGCAGTTTTAAGGCACAACTGTTGCAAGTAAAAATAACTATTCCAATATTATTTAAATTGGGGGCTAATTTAGCTATCTGACTAGTGAGGTTTGTAAATAGTCTTCAAGCAGTGTCTTGGTCTCATTTCTGTTGCTGTGATAATAAAACATCACTGACAAATAGCAACTTAGGGGAGAGGAATGTTTATTCCAGTTACAATTGTAGTCAGAAGATTCCCTGTGTCCCGGCCTGCTGGCAGTCAGGATAAATGTCTCCCTCTTGCATCCCCCATATAAACACACACAGGCTTATAGTAATTATAACTGCATGGCCATGGCTCAAGCCTTTTGCTAGCTAGCTCTTAATAAATTAGTCCATAACTATTAATCTATGTATCGCCACATGTTCCATGGTCTTACCTATGTCCCATTTCCTCCTTGGGTGACTTGCTGGCGTCTCCCTCCACCTTCTTCCTGTCTCTCTCTCTTTGAATTTCCTGCCTGCCTCTAAGATGCCTTACCATAGACCAAACATCTTTATTTATCAACCATTTGGAGCAACACAAATTCACAGCGTACAGAAAGACATTCCCCATCATACAATTCCATGTTACAATCCACTCTAGTAGGGCAATCACAGTACCTGGTCACATCCACGTTCAAGAACAGAGAGAAATGAATGCAGACATTTTTACTTTCTTGCTTGTGTTCAGCTGGGTTTCTCCACTGTTAAAACAGCTAAAGGCCCCCTGTTTAGGGATGGTGCTGCCCACAGTGGTCTAGGTGTTCCCATATTACCAACCTAATTAAGACCACCCTCCTCACAGAAATGCCCACAAGCCAACCCAATGTAGGCAATACATCATTGTACATGTCTTCCTAGGTGATTCAAGGTAGTATCGAGCTGAGAATTAAGCTAAATCCTAAACAAAACAAAACCAAAAATTGAGCAATAGGCCTGTCACACACACAAGTTTTATGCCTTTGAGAAGGCTACCAGAATGTCAAAATCCTGTTGTGTTATGAGACAGAGAACTGGGGGTTGTAGACATCCCTATAAGGCAAGAGAAAATCAGGATAGAAGATAGTTGAGGTGATCAGTTGGAATACAGTTTCCTAGTAATGTTCTGGGTGTCCTCTTTAACTGGTTAAAGCTGGTTACCTGTACGACTTTTGACCTTTGTAAAATACCTTTGTGGCTTTCAGAAAGACCATGTCTCCAGAAGAAACTCTCAGGATGAGGGTCCTTGTGGTACTACTAAAATTGGCTTATGATTATTTTCCCCTTTGGTTTTACTTTCCCATCGGGTGTTTAGTCCACGTTGGTGGTAACAAATTAACTTCTATTTGTTTAACAAATCTAAACCTCTGTGGTCAGGTAAGCTTCCTTATGAGGTGCTTAGGGATATAGGAAGAGTGTGTAGGCTCCTCTAGTCTTTCTCTGCTAGTAGTCTTACATATTGGGATGGGTCAAGGTCTTGCTGGCCATGCTACTTCCCTAGGAAGCACTGGAGACTTTCCTGCTATGACTTTTCTCTTCAAGCTATACACAGCAGCTAGACTTCAACCTGTGAGGTGCCCATGGCCTCTCTAACCAAGAGAACTTTGGTGACTTGCCAAAGTTTAGGGCCCTCTTAGACGTGTTGCAACAATATTGGCCATTCTATCATCCTTGCGGAGATTAGTATTTTTGTCACTGTGACACAAAGCTAGAGCTGTCTTGGGAAATGGAACTTCAACTAAGAAAATGCCTTCAACAGCCTGTTCTGTGGGTTAAAGTCTGTATGGTATTTTCTTGAGTCATTATTGGCGTGGGAGGACCTAAGCAATTGTGAGTGGCACAAGAAAGCAGGCTGAGCAAGCCATGGGGAACAGGCCAGTAAGCCCAGTTCTTCTTTGAGTCTCCACTTCATTTCCTGCTTCTAGGTACCTATCTTGAGTTCCTGCCCCAATTACCATCAGGGATGGACTATAAGCTG